AGTGAGATGACACAGTGAAGTTCTAAAGCACTTTAAGAAAAACCTTGATAGTGAATAGTTAATCAGTTAATTTCTTGAGCTAAAATCAATCAGGTCTTGTAAGTGTTCTCCTAAAAAACATGCTGAGTAAAGTAGTCACCAGTATACTAATAAAAACATTAATTGGCCTTCCCAAAACCAGCATTTGAAATAAACCAATTATTCTGCAGCACGTGACAACAGATTAATTAACCTCTAGTATACAATAATCACACTTGTGTGCACAAGTAACTTACAATTGTTAAGAGACTCCAGATACTTCATCGTGAGATAAATGGAATTTTATTTTTAGGGAGAGAGTGATTCCTCTTTATAATAAATGTATAAAAGTGCAATATCTTAAATATTTACTGCATGCAAGTATCTTTTTTTTTGTTGTTGTTGTTAGCATCATATAAAGTAATCTTATGCAATAGTCTCTGCAAGAATACATTTGAACTTATTGTCAAATTAATGCATCTCTTCGGTTGAGTGCCAGCCTGATCATTACATTAACCACCTCATACAGGACTGCAGGAAAAAACCCAAATTTTCAGCAACATCTTAGCAAACAGCTCTCTACTGACAATGCAAAATGACATACTAAAATTGCAAAATTTGGCCCATGTTTGCCTACTATGTTTGCAACTATAGTTGTGTTTGTTTTTTTTTTTTTCTGAAATGCCTGTCTAAAAGGCCTCTGATTACAGGAACCTTCTGAAGCTGTTCTTATTCACAATTTGTCTTTAATGTAGCCAGTATAATCAACTCTGTAGTGACTGCCAGAATTCAATCTAGTATGTCAAGAAACCTTCTCTTTGTGGCAAACAGGATAAAGGAAAGATACCAAAAAAAAATTCAAAACAAAATGCCAGGAGGAACAAGATTAACTAGAAACTGTGTTCCTCTTCAGCTGTACTACACATCATCAATTGTTGAATTTTACCAGACCAATTTACATTTAATTCACAAGGATCAGAAAGTATTCCAGAGTACACATACATAAAGCAATACTGTATTTTCTTTAGATGACAGGAAGCAATTAATGAGTGTGATAAATGAGAGTGAATGGAGAAAGAAGTGCCTTGGACAAGGACACAGTAAACCTTGAATGTCATGCCCAGCAACACAGCATTTTAAACAAGATAGAAAACATTTTCTTTTTAGAGCTTACTGGAAAAGAACTAATTTTGGGTTTTTTGTTGATTTGGGTTTTTTTCCTTCTTTTTTTTTTTTTTCTTTTTTTGTGTGTTTGTTTTGGTTTGTTTTTTTGGGGTTTTTTTTTGTGACTGAAAATCCAATTCTTGTATTCTTTCCATCCTTAACACTAAGTTTGACTTCCTAGCATCAGCCATCAGTCTGACTACCTGTACGTTGCATTTAGTCCATGTACACAGAAACTTGTGATTCTTAAAGGGGAGCAGGAAAGAGTTTTCTTTGTTCTTCTTTTTTTCTTTTTTTTTTTTTTCAGAATAAGTATGCAATCAAAGCCTTTGAAAATGAAAAGTGCAACACCTCCAAGCCAGAATAGTTAATAGCCCACCAAGTGCATAAAATGAAGTTTAGAAGTGACAGCACTAGGACTAGGTTTTCAGGGAGGAAAGTGTTGCTCCTTTTTTTCCTAATTTTTAAGCCTTTGGGCCACACAATTCTACCTCTTCCCCTTAGTCAGCTTAGCATTTCTTGGAACCATTAGTCAACCAAGCTGGCTGAAACCCCTGAAAATTAGATTAATAAAGCGGCCAAGCAAGAAGAGCAAAATTAAGGTTTTTTTCCCCCACCCCATTCGTTGACAAAGCAATAGGGCTGACATAAGGGAGAGGGAAAGCTCAGAGCAGATGAAAACCAGGATCAGAGGAGGTCTTGGAGGGTAGTAAAGAGCTGTGATGGGGGGTCTGGTGCCTTTGTATCAGATACTGACACCAAATGTGCTCCTGAGGATCTGGCAATTGTGTATTTTGTGGCAGTTTATAAATATTCTGGAACTCCTAGATGTTTGGGACAGTATCCTACAAAGTGCTTGGTAACTGGGTGAGACAATCATGGTATCTGATGTAACATTTTAATCACAAGTATGCACAACTTATCACACAAATACACAGTTTCTACATCTATTTCACGTATCTAAAGGTCACAACTGACACTGTAGTTTGTTGACATTATCTTCACTGAGACACAGACATAAAATAAATGCTTTCCTAGTGACTGATCCTTCTCCCATACATTCTGCAACTGGAAAGAAAAATGAGGAACCGTTCACTCTTGTCCTTGCTTAGGCAAACTGTTTGCACTCCAGGAATCTTAACTCAACTGTTTTATTCACTTAATAGAGAACAAACTAATTTTTGCAACTTGCCTGAAATACTATTTCTTCCGTAATGACAATCTAAGATCCACTGATTGACCAGGTATGAGTGAAACTCCTGAAAAATAGCACACAGGCCTCTTTCAGTTACTCCTATCATGACATAGGTGAACAAAAAGATCTAAGATACACACTACTCTTGCAGTAGTACTGCAATCCAGAAATCCTTAAGACATTTCCTCACTGTCTGCAAAGTCTGAGTTTTCTTTTCCTGAGGCATAGGTTTTATTTCTTTTCTCCCATGCTTCTTAGTTTCCATTCTACACAAGCCAAAAAAATCCCAAACCTTTTATAATACTGTCAAATTACCTTCTCCACTGTAACACACCCTAAATGTTTTGAACATCTGGCTGTAACAAAGATATTCTGGAAATTTTAATATTTAGACAATGAGGATGGAGCACATATAATTAAAAAGTAATTTTGGAGTAATATATCTAATCAACATTTACCATAATAAGAAGCATTTTGGGAGAACAATAAGCCCAAATATTTCAGAAGAACTAAATTTCAAGGAATGAAGATGCTATAATATGAAGATGTGGCCAAAATTACTGTATTTTTAACCAACAACATTTTGAGAGGCAGAAACTGTACAATATTAGTTTTTCAAAAAAACTATTTCTGTCCCTCAAGCAACACACAATACATGCATTTAAGTGACACTTTAAGAATAGCAAATGTTATTTTAAAATACTCTTAAGTTCAAAAGTGCATCTTGCACTCCTTCCTTCAAAGAAAAAAAAATTAACTGGTCAAATAAGGACTTCCTGCAGCATAGTAAATGAGGAAATCAGCTTGAACTGTATTTTGAGAGAAAAAAAACTTCAACTGATTTATATTAAACTTGATGTATCTTTTGACACTGTTTTCAAAATCTCTATTCCATTCTTACCTGCAGCATGACTAATGTGAAATAGCTCAAGATAAACTTACAGTAAAATTCCTGAATCATCTAAATTGTGACCCCAATGCATTGACTAGACAGAAAAATTTGTTTGACTGATAGAACTCAAAATGCTATAGATAACCAAAAGGCAAAATAGAGGAAATTGTCAGTAGCTCCACGTCTCAAACTAAAGCTAAAGATTTCTATTAAACGAACAAGCTGGAAAGGCTTTAGTTTTTTAATGTCTGTTAAATTCTAGAATTTATGGTCTATGTCAAAAGAGGGACTGTGTTTGTAAAAGTGTCAATTTCTAAAATAGCATGGTTAATTAAATACCAGGACATTTAAATTTCCTAAATTACTCATGTCAGTCTCTCCAAAACATAGCTACTTTACTGATCTCTTAACTAGAGGTAGGTCATGTGTAGGCCTTGTTAATACGCTGTGAACACTTCATTAGTTCACTAATGTAATAGTCTGCAAGATAACTATGCACAGAGCTCCAAGAATAGCAGCACATATAATAAATTAAATGTCTAAATTTTATTTTATTCATGTGGGTTAACATGTCTGTTTTCTCCTAATATTTCATTCTTTTGTGAAGAATGTTTAACAAGGAAAGGGTCATGAGGTTGCGTAATCTGAAAGTCTTCTGCACCTTACAACTCAAGGCTGGGAGTCTAGCAATATCTATATGCAGCCCTTTTCCCCCATATAGAGTTTTTGCAAATCATGCAGTCAATTCTGACTGTTATCCAGCATTAAAAGTCTCTTCTCCATTTTCAAACTTCAAAAAGTGATGAACAATCATGTGGCAGTATGATTAGAAAGTACAGTCCATACACCTTGACAATCAAAAGAGACTGAAATATAAAAAGTAAACTGCCCTTATAGCTGCATCATCCTACATCTGTAAGGACAGTGCCAGTTAATTTGTGAAAAAGGCAAGTTCCAGGTTTCTGTAAAACATGTATTACAGCTTTCTTGTGCTAGTGAACATTTAGAATACACAGGTTCCCAAGACATTTTCCTTCCCTCCTCCCCCATTTGTAACATTCAAAGAAAACACATCATTTTGGCAAAGTTAAAAGGGTTTCTGTCTTGATGTTTTTGCCTTCAGCTTCATGTTAGAGGCACAAACTTCTGGACTTAAGCACTATAAGGCATAGTAGAAACCACCAATTAAAACAACAGCAACACCACTACCACCACAACGGAATATACTACAAGTGGGAACAGCTGTGTTATTTAAAAAGAAAATGTTTTGTAAACTGACATACTGCAATGCTGTGTTAGGTGATTCATGTAAAGCTTGCCCTGGCATGCTGAATATTTTTTTTCCCAGAACATGCTCAAATAGTCTAAACATTGCCACAGGTTCAACTTACCTAAAAAATACCAGAAAATAGCCCAGTGGCACACACTCTTGAAAACTTTTGCAATCACAATATAACTATAAAGCATGAGTAAACTTTTGTTTTGTTTTTATACAAAACTTGGAACCACATTTCCTTCTCCCCCACCCCATATCCTGTAAGAAAAAAAAAAAAAATTAAAAAACCCCAAACTTTTGTTAGACACCACTGTCTGGTGTGGCTTTTTGTTTGGTTCTGCTTCTCTTTCCTTTTTTTTTTTTTT